TAGGCCCAGTAGTTTCAGAGGAGAAGATTTTTAAATGTTAGCAAACATGATGAACAAATTGTATCAAATTGTCTTTAAAGGACAACAACTCCTTAATGGGCCAATTGACAATTTTGGTCTTATTAACTTTTTTGTAGATTTTTCTTTGCTATTTACAGTTTATCTTTATCTTCAATAATATTCAAGATAATAACCAAACAAACTGCAAAATTTCCTTAAAACTACCAATTTAGTGGCAGCAACCCAACAATGGGTTGTTCGGTTCGTCTGAAAATTTCAGAACTGATAGATCTTCACCTATTGAAATTTTTTACCCCATGTCAGATTTGCTATAAATGCTTTAGTTTTTGAGATATAAGCCAAAAACTGCATTGACCCCTGTTCTATTTTTAGCCATGGCGGCCATGTTTCTTGATGGATCAAAACTTTGGATACAGTTTATATACTAGATACCATAAGGAACATTCAGTTAAAGTTTGAAGGTATTTGGCCTAGTAGTTTCAGAGGAGAAGATTCTTGAAATAGTTTACGACGACGACGACAGACAACGACAGACGACGACGGACGACGACGGACGACGAATGATAGCATAAGCTCACCTGGCCCTTCTGTTTTTTGTGCTGTGCTTCCATCCCATAGTTCATCTGTCCCATATCATATTAAAGTTTGTGTACATGAATAAGCTTGTTTATGGTCGCATCAACTTGAAACTTACTACAAATGTTCATTTACTTTTTATTATTTTTATATTCAATGGTGAACTGTTTAATGTATAGATCATGTACAATGTATATGCTTTATAATGGTTCTGTCCAAAAATTCACGGCTATGTGAGCATAGAAATGTGATAGTGCTAGCGGAGTATCAAGTGTATTATGGGCAACTTTTCATGTTACTGTTCACACCTTTGCTATAGAAGACGTGGCATAAAATTCGGTTAAAAAAGGGCTGGACTCGATAACATACAGAACTTAAAAGAAATTTCGAACACAATGTAAAATACTTTTCTCTCCAAAATTTCACTGGAAACAAATTGGGTTTTTTTCAAGGAATTTAAATCAAACAATCATTTAGCCCCTCGACCCACAAAATATGAATTGAAATGGTCAGTGCCTTAATTTTATTATCATGTTTCCCATGTGAAAGTGAAAGATCAGTATCAAGAAAATGAACATTTATTGCTGTTTATATTTGTATTAGCTATATTCAGTGCAAGTTTCATTGGTTAAATTCTAGAAGAGTGGTTTTCCCCGTTCTACTCTTCTGGTATCACACAACCAATATAAAAATCTTTTAGCTTTTGCAACATAATATTCCATGTACATTAAGCTACACTGATAGCCTTTCTGGTCCATATTACAAAATCTACCCAGATAAGTTCATATATTCCGAACACCCTGAACTTGGTACATGTATTTTTTTGTTTTTTTTTTAATTCAAGCTTTCCATTTATTTCATTGGAACAGATGTTGGTATCTTTAGCACAGTCAATTGGAGTTTTATTCCTCCATGGAGTCTTTTTACTGTCTAATCCATACGGGCAATTAACTTCCACTAAGCCAACGCCAACACCGAATTTGTTGCAAGTGACCAGTAAATCTAAGCAAGCCCCTAAAAAGGGATATTTGGGGTTGACTAAAAGTCCACGAGACTCGACTGTAGTATTTCGTCATTCCTTAGTATGTTTCTGAATGTACTGACTCACAGCCACAGATTCGTATTTGCACCCATATTTGATGCTCTTAACCCTATCTGGAACAGTCACATGTCCACAATTAATTTTGTTCAACAAATTGTCTGACACAAGCTTTTTTCTTCTATAAACCTCGCCCATAACATACGCTGTAATCAATTTTTTCCGAACCTACATCCAATTAGTATTAACACTTTGACTTCTTGTTCCCTGTTCAAGAGATTGACTAATCACAACTGTAACTTTTAGATTGTCATAACAGTCTGTGAAGTCACAGGTCCTACATCTAAGACTTACATAGTCACAAAACATATAGTTCGGGCAGTACAATTCTAAAAAGGGACCAATTTTAGCATGTTCAAACCTTAGTATCTGGTATAACACACAGTGTGGATATGCATTTTCCAATCCTTTTAGTATGTCATCTAAAAATGTCTCATTCTTAATCTGCCTAATGGTCGAACTTTCTTTGTCTGGATTTCTCTTTCTGTCTTTGTAAAATTGATATCACATACTATTGCAGGACTTGACTTTCGCTAAGAGGTATACGCCGATCTGAAGTACATTCATTTGGTGTGCACGAATCTTTTGTTTTACTAAGGTATTACGCAAAGCACCTACAGTACTAACTGTGACATACTCTGAAAAATGGTGGCCATAAAATTTATGGCGACCATGTTGGCCCTCTTTGTCCATCATTATACCACCTGTGGTTTGATCAATACACAAGGTATCACTAACAATTAAATCAACAGTCAAGAAAACTGCTGATTGCATTTTTGCGGCAAATTTTAAATAGTTTACAGGTAATATTGTGTCCAAGGTAAGTTTTGCGTATTTGTTTTGACAGAATTTTCGCATTAACTTATATCAACTGTGATATTTATAAGAAAAAAAAAGTTTTGAAATAAATCAAAAAGAAATAGTATATACAAAATTATACATTATCTAGCCGAAAAAGTTCGTATAGCTTAATATGTCAATATTGAAAAAAAATATTGTCTAGATCTTGAACTTTGAGATATTGGGCTAATATATTATTTTAGGAAAACTATTAACAGAAAAGGGGCGCAGGGATTAAGGTAACGATAAAACTAAAAAAAATTAAAAAAAACAGTCATTTGTTGAATTACACAATGAATTAAATTTTCCGAAAATGAATTGTGCGTTTGCTTTCTTTTTTTTCTAGATTTCCTTTGGAAATTAGGTGAAATATTCGATAGTTTTTCATTTCTTTTCTTCACTTTTTTAAAACAAAATATTGAACTTTTATTACTAAATAAATGCAGTGTTATAAAAAAATATTTTTATCCAGATCAACAATTTCTTTTCTTCGGATAATTTGAACAGTGTTATGTCAATAAAGTAGACAAATGACAGGAAAGGTGAAAGGTAAAATTAAGCCAGTTAGTGTAAGTCTCTTGTGTATTGCTGTACATGTAGAAAGTTGACATCTTCATGGAATGTATAGTTAAACAATATAATCAGGGAAAGTTTATTATTTGCAATTAGATTAATCATTGAAATGAAACAAAACACTGACCCCTACCCATGTATTCTAATGTTTCAATTAATTCAGAAAAAATGAATGGTTACATTAATTTTACTATTTGTTGAACTGACATACGATTTTTGATGTTTTTAAAAAAATAAGAAGTCTTTCAGTATTGTTTTACTATCTTTTAAATAATTCTATTGATTTACTTTATATTTCCTTGCAATTTAATAAGAAGTGTTTGATATTTTAACTGGGTAGCAACTGAAAACCTTTCGAATGAGGTACAGGTCTTATAGTTTTTAGTTTAGGTATTTAATGGATTTTTCAAAACTATACAGAGCCTTATAGTATAATAATACACAATCCCATTTAACTTTACTTTAGATATGACACAAAAACATATATTATCAAGAAATTTCAAATAATTTTTCCCATGACTTTTTTCCTAGATATATTAAACCAACGTGATTTTTTTCATACCAGACTTGTGAATTTTTACTCATTAACCCAAAATCCACCGGGAATATGATTCATTAATAAATTAATGTTACTACTGCATCTTTAGACAATAGTCCAAAATTATTTACAAACTATTGAAAATTTCACCAGTTTGATACATAACAAGGACATATAATACTTTTTATGACATGTATATTGCTACATGTATCTGCATATATGTACTTATTGAGAAAAGATTGAAAGTAAGTTATTTATAAATCATAGAACAATTTTCTCAAAATTGAATTGTTACAACTTTTTTGTTACTTTTTGTATTGTGACTCATTATCTTCTTACTTAGTCATTTGGAAAAACAAGTCACAAACTAAATTCGTGTATCTTTTTAATTTTTTAGAAAATTCAAATGAAAATGCTTCAATATATTAATGACACTGCTTGAGAACGGAAATTAATTTGTATCACATGACAAATGCAGAATGGTAAAATTATTATCACATACTTAAAATTGAAATTAATTTCACTTTTACCGAAACATGTAATCAGTTTCTAACCTCTGTATAACATGGAAGTTCTTGGACAGGGATAAGAACTATCTACCTGTACAGGTACAGTTTTGATGTACATGTAGGATGCCATTTTCATACCTGATAACTTAACAGATAAATAGTATTGCATCTCACCAGGTAGCCTAATTAGATTAACCACTGGCCCATACTTTATGACCCCAATAAATGGTCAACATTCTACCATTCGTGACCCCAATTAATGGTCACCATTTCATGCTGACCATACCAGATGTTGAACATTTATCAGAGTAATCAGAGGTTGTACTGTACATGAGCACAAAGACCATCCCCGCCTGCCTTCAATTTGCATCTAGCATTGAATACATTACCAATTTTTCTGCCTAAGCACGCATGTAAACTACAATATTTGCCTGTCATACTTGATGTCCCAATATTTACAGTTTGTTTCATAGATGGCAAACAAGTGCATTTGATATAGGAAAGTCTGATACATCATTTATTTTACTATAAAGTATATTTCTGATAAACCCTTCATTGCATAACCTTTTTGCTTTTTTCATTTGTCTGTTGTAATCAAACTTGCTCCTGTTTACGCGTTCTTATGTTACAGAAAATAACTGTCTTCTCCTCTTGATGACGAACCATGTGGAATGTCACTAATCTAGCGTCTCCCAGTTTGAAATCATATATTGGAAATTACATCTTCACCTACGCTCTCATCTGAGCTATCTGGATCTCAATCCACGTAACTAAACATTGCACGATAAACCCGGTTCACCAATACTTCCTTTAAACCTGACTTTTTTAATTTGCGAAAATAAAATCAGTCTTGAAGTTTTATCACTTTCCGTAAGTTTAACTCTTGAAGACTTGGACGAAAATCTGGTGGTTCCTCTGTTTCTGATCCCGCTTCTGATAACATTTTCAAATCTGAAAGAATATACATAAAAGAAATTCTTATTTACACCAGGATGCATGCTATAGGTGCACAAAATGTGCGTGTCAATTATTTGGTTTGTAAAGGGGACTAACTGAAATATATGGTTTGTGAAAATCACACATTTAAGAAAACACATTTAAGGGGAGTCGATACAGTTTCAAAGTGTATTGTCATTTTGTGACTGTGATTGAGTTAAGTTCTTTAAAAAATCATGAAATGAAACATAGGAAGACCAATAACCCAAATATATATATAATAACCCATTTGGGCTTGTTGTAGTGATGAGAGAGGTTTGTTCTACGTGTTGGAGGCCTCAAAGTGACTTTGAGATGAAGAGCAGCAATAAAAGCACTGGTCCTTTGCTTTTTGTGTTTTTTTCCTGTGCATGCAATGACTTTTTGTCATGGATGGGTATCCTACATCCTTTCTTTTCTTTAATCTGATTAGTATAGCCCAAATGGGATATACATTTAAAGTGAAAAAAGGAAATGATTTTTTTGAATTAAGCAACAATTTTTAAAAGTACATTTTGCACAGTTAATTTTCATCCAATTTGTTTCTTGTATTTTGTTGATAAGTTTATAATTGTTATCACTGTCAACCTGTTTTGGGGTATAATACCCTATTTTTGGGGATCCCATCCAACCTTTGAAACTCACAGGGTTCTCAATAAAGCACCTAGATGAGTCTTGGTTTCACGATTTTTGACAGGAACTCACTAAACTGTCTGAAAGCAGGATCAATTCAATGTTGGGATTTACCAAACGTTTGAAATATTAACCTGGGACCTACTCAAGTGAATTCCTACCTAGAACCCTGACGCAGGCAAGTTCTTTTTTGCAAAGTTTTTTTTTTATAATTGTTCGTTTTTCATCAATGAGAAGAAGGACTATCAATTTGGGGTCAATGTCTATATGATAATAAAATAAAGGAAACAAACGGCAAACTCAAAGCAAATTGCGCCAAAAAAATCGTACCCCTGAAAATCAAAAACGACGCATGTAATTCTTTTTTATTACTTAGTATATACTTACGATTATAAGAGCTTCTAAATCAACCAAGTAACTAAAACCTCTCCACTTGAATTTTATACCTCATTGTCAATGTGAATCGTTGTTGTCATACATTCATCAAAGATGCACAAAAGAATGCATTTCATCTGAACGCCCGGAAGTTGATTTCGAGACAAAACTAAAGATCGGAACAAACAAGGATATAAGCCCGGAAAATTATTACGGAACAGAGCCATTTTCTAGATATAAGACCGACTGAACTGTATTTGTCGTATCCTTATTGCAAGTTTGATGATATATTTACGTTCAACATATCCACCAAAAATTGGATTTTTTAGTGAGAGGATTTCACTATTTCAGAGAACGTGAAGTTGAAGGATAATGATATCTTTCTTAACATTCTTACTAAGAATCTCCTGTAAGAGTCTGTCTAACATGAATAAAGGAAGAAATTAACAAGAAGAGAGGCACAATCCTTTAGGAATGACAGTTGTTTTTTTTAAATGCACGTCACCCAAACGTAATACAAATGTTTCGATTAAACAAAAACAAGCCTTTTGATGATGTCATTTTCAGATATTTTTTTTAAATCAGAGTATGAGTTATACCCATCCATATTCGGGCACTAAAGACATATCCGTTCCGTAGGTGATACGTGATAGTGTTACGTAGTAGCAGATATTACATCCAAATATATAAAACAAATGTTAAAGGTAGCGGCAAAAATTTGATTAAAATATCTGAAATATATTGTCCAATCCGAACTTGCTTGCAACCAGCTTTTTAATACTTTTTTTTTCATCTTGACTTCTTGACTTATATGCATCCGTTTGTTTTCGTAAAGATACATTGGACCGAATAAAACAAAATGTACTATTACTTAGTATAGTCTTATTAAGTAGCTTATCTTAAACTATGTGTACTTGTCCAAATAAATGATCATATGGATATTACAATAAAAATGGTACTTTAAACCAAATATATTCATTATCAAAGAATATATCAATCTGATTAAACAAACATGACAAAGATCATGTGTCAATAATTTGTTTATCATAACATGATAACACTTAATTTTCTTTTTTATTTTTAAAGAACAAGTGATATAGTTGGGATTTTGTGAAAAGATACACATTTTAATCAAATTGGAAGAAGACATTTCATTGTTTTCATATTCTTGGAAGCGATGCATGGCCACATGATCTGTAGCCATTAGTCAGTTAAGTGGTTCATCTTTGTCTTGATAGTCAAAATCAATCTCCGACAAAGAGGTCACATTCATTCCGTATGTGCTCCGCAATAATCCACGTAATATTAATTGTAGTGTAACGGAATGCCGGAGATAACATTGAAATATATAAATAAAAAAGTTTAAGATAGTCGCCGAAATTCTAATAAAGAAATCTTAAATGTATCATCAAATCCGAATGTTTGCTAGCCATCAGCCTTTTAATGCTTTTTCATTTTGACAATGCATTTGTTTTCTTAAAGATACATTAAAAGAAACATTGAAAATTCATGGATATTTTCATATTAATGAATGTTGAAAACACACTTGACGTATATTTCACATCTGGTTTTATCAAGATATATCTTGACTCTGATGTACAATGGGCACGTTAACATACGATATTTAGATATTTTGCATGCGCTTTAATCTGAACATGTTTACATCATTGTCATTTGGTTTTAATTGATAGTTTTGTGTATTGTATGGTGTGATTAGAATACAAAGAAAACGGGAGAAGCTGCCGAAATTATTCCCCGGCACATAGTTCATATAATTCCCTTGCATGCTCAGCAGTTCTCCACTTAATATTTCGTGTAGTGTATGAAACGTAACGAAGATTGTATTGAAATATATAAAATAAATCTTCGTTCGCGACAAATATTCTAATAAAAAAAGAAGCATAAATGTATCGTCCAATCCGAACGTTTGCTAGTCATCAACCTTTTTGTACTTTTCTTTATTTTCACTAAGGCTCATCAATTTATTTTCTTAAAGATACATTGGACCAACAATACTAAATGTACTATAACTAGTTAACAAGTAGCTTATCTTAAACTGTGTGCACTTGTCCAAATTATTTATGATGCCTACCTACACTCTTTTGTCTCAGTAAAGAAAGTTATTCCGCATTGCCACACTTTTGGAAGACTTTTGGGAAACGAATTCTATGTTAACTCTGATTTAACAATAGTGAAAATAATATACATTCTGTCATGTAGTTATATTACAGAAAAACGAAAAAAAAATAAAAGTATTGTCCCTCGAGGCTGCTAGTAACCACAAAACCCCTACAACCAATTTAAACAGTTTTGTAATTTGTCCTTACTACTATAAACAATACATGACCTACTTGATGATGTTTTTATTGTTACATCGCCATGATGAATTTGAAATATACAATTACTAACAACTATCAGCTAATCATAAAGAGTCTTCTCAAAATATTCCAGTAGCTTACCTGCAAACCTGAGTCCATTGTTAGGCCACATGCTATAACCACCAGGAGATTGCAATTGTTCAATATATTCACCTGAAAAAGAGTGACTTTTTAATGTTGTGGTCATTACGAAAAAAGTCATTAAACAATTACATACCTAGACTTATTCTTTTTTAAGTTTAACATTAATAGTGGTTGTTTAATTGTTGTGTAATTATTTAAACCTTGATATTTAAGGTCATATTGACTTTGACAACAAACCTGACGTTTTTTACAAATTTGCTTCTATCAGGATATAGATTTAGAACTCCAAAGTGCGATAATAATCGATAGCAAGGCTGTTTAGTTTCCTTTGCCGTGCGCTAAAGTTCAATGGTCTGTGATATGGTTTTTATTGATTGCTATCTCATTGGTAATCATGTCATTGCTCTTTATTGATATGTTAATCATATTATGGGACATTCCTGCTGCTGTTCATCAATTAAACAAAACTTGACTAGGAAAGCAAAAATATTTTCACGAAATATAAAACAGACTTTTTTTCCAATCCTATTCTGTCTGAATTGTATACTTTCAATCAGAATATAAATAAAAGGAAAGCAACGCATGAATAATAATAAAAAAATATCGTTCAAATCTGAGCAATTAATACAAATCAGCTTTTTTATGTTCACTTATATAAATGCATATGTTTTCTTAAAGATAAATTAACGTTCAGGTGTCCAACCACCAATTCACCTATTTCAATTAGAACATATATGAAAGTAGGCCTTCCCTGACAAAAAAGCGCTTTTGATGTCATTGTATAAAAATTTGCAGAAATGCAGAAACTTTTGATGTAAGAGAAATATATGTGGAATATTTTGAGCCAAAATTTACTTGTCCATGCTTTTGCATTCAAAATTGAGGATTAATGCGCTCCATAGTATACTAATTCAGGATATCCCGAAAACCAGGGGTTATTTTTGTTAGCAATTGACTTCCGAACGATTTGGTAAATTGTGAAAATCGAAAAAAAATGGTTGATTGTATAAGGGTTTTGAATTGGTGGTCTGACACATTTAAAGCGCATGAAAAATAATAAAAAAAAAACCTAATACGCATCAGCTCTTTAATATTCAACTATATAAATGCAGATGTTTTCTTAAAGGAGCATTAGCTGTCAAACTCATGTCCACCGATTTGACTCAAATTCTCAAATTTGATTTATAACATATTAAAACGTATCTTCAAATTACAAAATGCCTAAAATAAACAAGTAAAAATACATTGACCGGATAATATACATATGTGTATCAGCATTTCGTGTATATTTTATTCTAGACGCCATCTAATTAACCATCGAGATGAACTCTGAAAACTGTCGACGGTCATATTATCCGATATAAACATAAATAAATAGCGAGCACGTGCAATTAGATTTTTCTAGGTCAGTTTGATTTCATATTATAGGTAAGAAAAATATGTTAATCATCGTTTACACCGTGTGCTAATTATTAGGCCTTAAACACTGTTTTCATATTCTCTTATTTGAATCCAGATGTGTTTTAAAGATGCATTGGACTAATTCAGTGCCATTACTTGTAAACGATTAGATTATGAAAAAAGTATATGCACTTATTTAATTAATTAAAATTGTTTACCTGCGTTCGTCTGACGAAGGATTAGAATTTCCGGCTTTGAATTGCCGAGAGGCTGGTCAGTGTAAGAATGTTGTAATTGTGAAGCATCTTTACGATGTGTCGATTCTAAAACGAATAAAGAGACTGACATGTGAATGTTGTTCTAATACAAACAAGCAAATAGTATACCTTGACCTTCATCAGGAACGCTAACAGACGAGTGACAATAACCCTAACATATAATTTTTTAGGCACGCACCTATCATACGGATAAATCATACACAATTTCAAAGTATATCAAATGCATTATTTTATATTGTTTGACCGATGGTCAAATATTCGTACAGTGCAATTGCTGTCAAATCAAGACCCAAAGTAAAGGAACACAATATCTTACGTTGCATGATATCAGCATTGATGCAAAGTATGTCTTTTGAATAATAAAACAATACATGAAAACAAGAAAAACTCGTAGAACAGGGATCAGCAATCACCTGTCAACCGTACTAAAAATTTTAATTTTTTTCCAAAAATTCCAGCCTAAACTAAACTATTGTTTGCGATTCAACTGTTTATCAACTTAAACCAAATACAATCCTTTATCTAATGAATAAGAAGTTTCTGGCATTATCATTTGACCACAATCAAGTTAATTGTTAATTAAACGGCCAACCATAAGAACTCATACAGTTGATTTAAATACCGCCATCTAAAAAGAAGCCTTTGAGCGAGCTGTTCTAAGCTAGAAAATTGTAAATAGTCAATATAAGGTTGAAGAAACGCAATTTCTAAAAAATTGTAAAATATATTGTAGGAAATAATATACAAGATACTTAAAGTGGGAATATAATGTTCGAAACTTAAATAATTCATTATGTATTTAACCGCCTCAGTCTGTGATCTTGTGGTAGCGTATTCTCCTCGAGTGTTTGGGGTGGTGGGTTCGATCCCCAACCTGATCAAACCAAAGATTGTAAAATAAGTTTTTGTAATACGAAGTTGAGCAATGGGTAGTTATCTCGAAGTTAGAACAAGTATTCCGGGTAAGATGACTTGCTTTCTTTCAAATGGTACCTTGTGAACAATAACGTTAAAAATTAGGCTCATTGTAGTACAAAGCAAGGTTCATATTCATACCGCATAAAAATTACGATTGTTCTCGTCCTGAATATGTATTTAGCTTGACACAGGACGTTTATCAGCCATTCATCATCATCACCAACATGTATTACAAATGCAAGCACGAACAAAACTTAGTACATTATTAATATTGAAAGAACTAAAGGACAAGGACTTTTATTTATATAGTTATAAATATCATTTTTTTTATTCATAAATAATTTATTTATTCAATCATGTGTCATAACCTACTAAGGCTGTCAAGATGTATCCAATTTTACCGATCACATAAAAATGGAATATTCGTTTCTTATGCGTTTTTGCATAACCACACACAAATGCTCATTTATAACGTGGAATATAACTTACTAATCTATATGTAAATATTAGTAATGACTGTAATGTTACATTGTAGAATGAAGCAAGAAACAAGTGAATTGTTACAGTGTATTTAAAATACAAGTCACTTGGTAAGAAATTTGTATTTCTAATGCTTCATGACATTTTCATAATTATTCCTGCGGAAAAGCAGATACTTTGATACTTTTTTTTAACAATTTTAAACGAATGGTTCAGAATAAATGTTTTCTATTTTTTCTGGCAATACAATTTATTCCTAAAACATTGACAATCAGGATAAAATATTTAGCCTCCTCCCCCTTAAATAACGTTACTGTTGTCGAATTGAGAGATCATTTGATAATTTAAATGTGTAAAAGTGAGGCGAAAGATACCAAAGGGACATTCAAACTCATAAGTCGAAAATAAACTAAATGTAGAAAATAAACTGACAACGCCATGGCTAAAAACAGACAAACAGACAAACAGACAATCAACAGAACACAAAACACAACATAGAAAACTAAAGATTGAGCAACCCGAACCCCACCAAAAACCGGGGGCGAGTTCAGGTGCTCTAGGAGGGGAATTCGACCCTACTCCACACGTAGCACCCGTCGTGTTGCTTATGTAAGTACAAACCAGATGATAAGTCTAATTCGGTAGGTCACATTCGGGGGCATATAGAATGGATTGTAAGGTCGACAATTGGAACATATTCGTGGTCATCTGTGAAACAGATTTTTCATAGCAGTTAACCAGTTCGTGATGGCGTCAGTAAAATTTACGAAGGGATGCTTTCAACTTCACCAATTGGAACTCTTGGTTTAAAAGCTTCCTTGTGAGCAGCAATCCTCTATCAAGAAATTTTAATAGAAAATACAAGCCCTGAAATATAGATCCTTTCAACTAGGAGATATATACTCCGTATGTAGGCGCTGCTGGAATGTTGGTAAATAGAAAAGGAAAGTTCACAATTGGGAAGCTGAAATCATCTCCTTAGTCGTAAAGTTTTGTTTTCAACTGACTCTCATTGTCAATATCAAGATGTACGGCAAGATATGAGATCCTTGTATTCTTTATCTCAAGTTCAATGGGACAGATGCGTTCAACATAGTCACCAAAGTGACTAAATTATTTAGTGAGAGAACATCATCTTTATAGCGGAAAGTGAAGTTAAAGGATACTACTTTCTTTTCGTTCTTCCTAAGAAGTTCCTGTATGAAGTCAGCCTCATATGAATAAGGTATATATAAATGTAAAAAAAATCACGAACCGGAACCAAGAGAGCACAGAATCGTAATGCATATTGTTTTCATCGGTACTTATTTTGATTTTGATATTGAAAATAAAAGATAACTGAATATATAATGCTATTTTTGTACGGTTATGAGAGCTACATTGTAACTCATGACCCTACCTCCTGTCGAAACTGTTTACTTATATTTTGGCATCACATTGTTCATGACGTCTTTAAACTAAATCCGTTCGCGTTGGATGTGTACAGATTGATACTTTCGTCTAAAAGAACATTAGTGATTTATAAGTTGAAATTGGCTTTGAACTAGCTTTCAGTAAGTAACTGCGAGTACCCTTATTTCGGTGCTATCTGTCTATTGGTTTATGTTAGTTTTTGTTGTGTCTCGTACCGATCTTTTGAGTTAAGACAAATGTAGCTGATTTTTACAGTTTGTTCTTATGTTATATAGTAACACCACTGTTCCAGGTTAGGAGTTGTTCTTTATGTCCCTGTCCCAAGTCAGAAACCTGTAGTTCAGTGGTTGTCGTTGGTTCTTGTCTGACTGTCATAATTTTTTTTCATAAATTGTTTCATGAAAATGAATTGTTATATTTTTGATGTCAGGGCCTTTTTTAGCCGACGATACGGTATGGGGTTTTCTCATTGTTTGAGGTCGTACGGTGGTCTACTATTGCTTACATCTACTTCATTTGAACTCTGGTGAATAGTTCTCTCATTGGCAATCATACCTCATCTCCTAATTTTAAAATAAATTGCAATGTATGTTGCCCGTTCTGTGTAGATGCTTCAAAATATGTCCCTTGTGTTGTGGCGAATTGCCTTATTTTTTTTACAGTTATGGGGTGTTTTGCTTCTGAGAGAGCTGTCTAATGTTGTTTTAATCATACATTTTATTTTGTTCTATATCTTTCAATCTACAAGTTTATAATATTTGCTCCTTCTAGGATTTTACAAACAATTCTTATATTTTCTGTATTTGTTTTGCGTTTGTTATATTTTACCAATGTTTTAACGTCGGGCAGTTAACTACAGTTTTTCATCGACTGCACTACATGTTGTATTTATTTCGTAATTGTCATCTCAATTCGATAAAATGACTTTCGGCCTCTATTACTTTTCCAATTTTATAAAATTTATAATATTCAGGATCGGAAAAAATTACAAAAAACATCTCCACACTTCGAATATCCACTTGTTTTAAAATCTGCATTCCTAACACAAAATCGAAATACAATTGTGTTAAGGAAGGCAATGCGTCTTCAGCTCGACTGTTCCACGAAAACATACGATGTTATCCCCAATATTCCGGTTTAATGCCAGAAAATGACAAACTGCTCCAAATTATCTTATTGTGATACTGTTAGTTATCAGTGAACGGAAGAACTTTTTCTCTCTCCTTTTCCTATGACATTACTTGATGACCCAAAGCTTCATTTATCTTGTAAAATGAACAAAACCGAAATGTGGTATTCAGTATGTCGGGTAAACAAACACAAAAACATCTTTACCGCTTCTGCAGACCTTGGAATTTCAAAAGTTTAATATACCAACATTAAGAATAAACTGCTTCGCTAAGCGCATCTGGATACGCCCGCAGAGGTCCAACCCTGAACAGTTGGGGAAAAATGGACACAATATTCAAGCTTGATACAGGTCTGAAGTTGGATTGTAATTAAATATTTGACATATTATAGGTTTCTGAATAAATGTAGTCAAAGAACTTGAAATTGGTTATATGAATTAAATTTATATTTGATTAAAGATTTCTTGCTGTTGTGCAATATACTGTGCTGTTGCGCAATACTTAGTAAATCTGTTGTCAGACTATTAAGAAATAAAGTTCAATATCTTCTCAATGTCATATTTGAAATTTATGAAAATCAATAGGGAGATTACATCAATAGCTATAAATAATTCGCCAAAGTTTCATGAGAACTGCTGAAAGCATTTTTGAGTTATTGTCCAAAAACTGGAAAAACCCCCCTTTTTAATGAATAAAACCCCATAACTCAGAAATGTAAAATCTAAAATTTATAAAATTCTAAAGGGAGCTTACATCAACAGTTATAAACAATTCACCAAAGTTTCATGAGAACTGCTGAAACTATTTTTTAGTTATTGTCCGAAAACTGGAAAATCCCCCTTTTTTTATGAATAAAACCCTGTAACTCGGAAACGTTAAATCTAAAATTTATAAAAATCCAAAAGGGAGCTCATGTCAATAGTTACTACAATCTGCCGAAACCTATATTTTTGGTATTGCAAACGGCCATGCTTTTTTCACTAATTGTTAATGACGTCTTTACACTAAATCCTTTGGATGTTGGATGTGTACTGATTAATGGTTAAGTCTGAGATACATGATTTTCTATTAGTTGTTATTGGCTTTGAACTAGCTGTCAGTACC